GGGGGCAGCAGGTGGTCCTACAGCAGATGGGGCGGCAGCAGCAAGGGTGGCAGTAAGTGGAGACACAGCAGCAGGGGCGACAGCAGCAGGAGCCACAGCCACTGGAACCTTCACAGCCACTGGAGCCACCACAGCAGGGGCTGCAGCAGCTGGAGACACAGCAGCTGGGGCGGCAGCAGGTGGTCCTGCAGCAGGTGGTCCTACAGCAGATGGGCTGGCAGCAGCAGGAGCCACAGCCACTGGAGCCCCCACCACAGCAGGGGCTGCAGCAGCTGGACCCACAGCAGCTGGGGCGGCAGCAGGTAGTCCTGCAGCAGATGGTCTGGAGGCAAGTGGGACAGCAGCAGCAGGAGCCACAACCACTAGAACCTCCACAGCCACTGGAGCCACCACAGCAGGGGCTGCAGCAGCTGGAGACACAGCAGCTGGGGCGGCAGCAGGTGGTCCTGCAGCAGGTGGTCTGGCAGCACCTGGGCTGGCAGCAGCCACACCCCTGGCCAGAGCAGCAGGAGCCACAACAGGAGTTGCACATGGTGTCAGAGACTGGAGGTTCTGGGGGTGTTTCCAGGAAGGTGGGTTTCAAAGGTTTGGAGGTCTCTCTGACCCACGTCCCCTTTTATACCCTGCAAAGGGGCTGCTGTCTTCATATGCAACACCCTTTCCTTGTCATTGTTTGTATTCGTAAACAGGCAATTATCAAATCAGGCCCTTTTATTTTTGGTTTTAATTTCCAGTTGCATGGAAAATGTGTGATCCTTTCCCATTGTGATTGGATTCATTTGTCAGCTCTTCTTCCTTAATCATCTCTGAAGTGTTTTTCTAGCTCTCCTTCCTCAAATGGAGGTGTCCACATGACATTCTGCCTCTTCCTGGTGGTCTTCAGTGTCAGTGTGCAGAGTATATCATATCTGTCTTGGGAAGGATTGACTTTGGGATTTCATAATTCTTCCTGGGCATAGAAAAAGATAAGGCTTCATTTTTTTCTGATGCATCATTCTTATGGGCCTTCTGGGGAAAGAAGTTTTGAATGTGCAACATAGATCATGTGTGAGAGCAGGCAGGCCATTAGGACATGTTTCCTGTTCCATACTCTAAATCTTGATGTCCATCTTGAAATTTAATTGAACATAAAGAGATTTTTCAGGTAGAAACTATGTAGTGAAACTGGGTGTTTTTCTTTTTTGTAAGAAGAAATCTAAAGGTAAACTTGGGCTATGCTTTTTATGTATTCATTTATTTATTTTAAAAAATTTTAAATGAACACTAAGTTTTAATTTTTTTTCTTTTTAGATATACATGACAGTAGAGCATTTTGACATATTATACATCCATGGAGTACAACTTCCCATTTTTGTGGTTGTACATGATGTGAACTTACACTCTGGCTGTGTAGTTATATGAGCATAGGAATGTTATATCGGATTCATTCTACTGTCTTTCCTATACCCATCCGCCTTCCCTTCCCTTCATTCTCCTTTGTCTGATACAATGAACTTCTATTCTTTCTCCCGCTACCCGCTTTTTGTGTGTTAGTATCCACATATCATAGAGAACATTGGGCCTTTTGTTTTCTGGGATTGGCTTATTTCACTTAGCACAATAATCTCCAGTTGCATTCATTTATCAGCAAATGCCATAATTTCATTCTTTTTTATGAGTACTATTCAATTGTGTTTGTATACCACTTTTTTTTTTCCCATTAATCTAAACCACTGAGGTTCCTCATTCCCCATATAACTCCAACCTGCCATTTACTGTCTCCACTGATTGCTGGACTCTGAAGATGCTATGTATTCTCTTTTTTTATTGTTATGGTTATTAATCTTATTTCACCATGTATGTTTTATGTTCTAAGAATGCAAAACCAAACAACCAACCAAAAACCAAAAGGAAATCAGAGTGATAGAAGTAAACAGATATCTTGGTAATTGGAATCAGCTGACATATATTCAGACTGAGGATGAAGTCAACATGCAAAGGTCACCAAATTCCAATGTGAAAAGCCATTGACTACTGTTCCTAAAAATGAGGAATGCTGCCAGTCCATTAGTTGGTCTCCTGTGTGTCAAGAAACAGGAAGGAAGAAACTATTTGGCCTTTCTATGATGACATCCTTCAGTTCTTCATCATTTTTTTTTAATTACAGTCCTAAGGAATATGATCCTTGTAATATTCCCATCAGTTTAGCTTTCTTAGCAAACACCTGATTTCAGTGTTCTTATTTTTTGAATTATTTGAATTACAGTGTGTTAGTAACAACATTGTAATTGTGTAAGTCTGCCTTTCTCCTCTGTGACCAAAATACATGATAAGAATTACTTAATGGAGGAAAGATTTATTTTTGGATCATGATATTAGAGGTTTAGTCCACACTGGACAGACAACACTGCATTGGACCCAAACATGACAGAAAGGTATGGTGAAGAAGCCTTGATCCATTAATCACAGCCAGGATGCAAAAAAGGGGGAAGGGGCCACATGGAAAAGGCATAATTCCAGGGAATCCCCTGTGACCCACCTCCTCCAGTCATGCTCCGTCTGCCTGCAGTTATCACTCAGTTCTTTAAAAGTAGCCCCCACTGTCTAATTATTTCACCTGTGAACAATTTTACCTAACTAAACACAGGAGCTTTGGGGAGTTTATATTCAACCCATAACCATGCTCTAAATGGAGACACCTACAAGAACCATGTAGGTTGATAGGGAAATTAATGTACTTTTAATTCAGCTCAGTTATTACAATGAAAATCATGTTGCTTTCAAATAATTAAGAATACGTATTAACCAGTATTACCAGTTTGGGTATAAAGTTGTATATGTAATCAGAGTAGTATTTAAAGTAATAAAAGTTTCTGCCTAGCATTGATTAGATTTCTATTTTTCCTTGAAATATCTTCATTCATTTCTTATCTAAAATTGTATTTTATTTTTTGAAGGAATATTTCCACTCACCTGATTTCTTAGGAAAACTTTTATTGGCCCCAAGGGCACACACCTGCAATGCCATACACTGAGAAGGCTGAGGCAAGAGGATCCCAAGTGTGAGGGAGGTCAGCCTGGACACGTGAGTAAGACTCTATATCAAAGTAAAAATAACATTAGCTTGTGGTTTAGCTCAGTTTTAAAGCATCCCTGGATAATATGCCCAACACCAGAGAAAGCAGTAACAACAAAATGATTTTAAAAATTCCACAGTTTTTTATTATGGAAATTTCATTTGTTGTTAAATGTGTACAAGGTATATCTGTATAGTGTTATAAATAATTATCAGGCACAAAGCTCAAGTCCAGGAAGGGACTGTTGACATCACCAAGGACTCTTGTATGTCTTTTTCTGACCCGGCCTCCCTCCCTCCACCATGGAGAATTGCTATCCTGATTTTTCTTTGTACTTTATCCAGCTATATATACATTTCAACTGTGAAATTCAGCTATACATGCCTTTAAATTTTATATAAATAGAATCTCACTATATGTCTTCTTTTTCTTCTAAGATTAAACATTTCCACCTTTTTTTATAATCATAACAATGATGGTATTTGTCATTACATATACATACAGGCACACATGGTAACAGTATAATTTCACTTTGTCTTTTTGTGATTGGCTTATTTCACTTAGCATGGTAGTCTGCAGCTTCACCCATTAACCAGCGAATGACATAATGTCATTTTTCTTTATGGCTGAGTAATACTCCACTGTGTATATTTACTACTTTATGTTTATCTTTTCATCTGTTAAAGGGCACCTAGGTTGACTCTATTGCTTGGCTGTTGTGAATTGTGGTGCTATAAATATTGATGTGGCTGCATTACTGTAGTGTGCTGATTTGAAAACTTTTGGGTATATACTGTGCAGTGGGATAGGTTGGGCATATGGTAGGTCCATTCCCATTTTTTTTCAGGAATCTCCATACTGCTTTCCAGAGTGGTTGCACTAATTTGCAGTCCTACCAACTATGTGTAAGTGTATCATTTCTACCACATCCTTGCAACATTTATTATTTGTGTTCTTGATAATTATCATTCTGACTGGAGTGAGATGAAAACTCAATGTAGTTTTGATTTGCATTTTCTTAATTATTAGAGGTGACGAACAATATTTCATATGTTTATTAACAATTTATATTTCTTTTTGAGAACTGAAAGGTACTTACCCAGAAAAGGCAGATACTTACCCAGACTAAATGCCAACTCCAGTCAGAAAACAAATAACTGGCTGATGTCCTCAGGCATGGTACCTTATGGGACCTCTGTGTTAGTCTCTGGAGGGATAGTGTTTCAGTCAACTTTTTCATTGTTCTAAGCAAAAGACCTGACAGAACCATTGTAGAGGAGAGAAGGTTTATTTGGCACTCAGGGACTCAGAAGTCTCAGTCCTTAGATGGCTGACGCTGTTGCTCTGGGCCTAATATGAGACACTACAGAATTCCAAAGGGTGTGGAGGAGCCAAGCAGATCAGGAAATGACAATGAAGAAGAAGAGAGATGGTTCCACTCATGAGGGACAGAATATCAACCCCAAAGGCATGGCCTCAGTGACCTACCTCCTCCAGCCACTCCCTACCTGCCTAGAGTTACTGTCCATTTAATTCCTATAAGTGGATTAAGGCACTTACTGGGTTTAGGCTGTTTTATAATCCTATCATTTTGCCTCTGAACTTCCATGTATTGTCTCACACATGAGCTTTTGGGGGATACGTCATATCTAAACAACAACAGACCATCATGCATTCAGATGAAGATGTCCTGGAATTCTCCAGTTACAACTTTTGAACATGGCATTAATGTGGAGATGCCTGGAAGCTTTGAGAGATTTATATCCCATCGTTAGGGAGGGGCATGTGTGTTTTAACGACATTTCTATATTAGGTATGTTTATTATTCAATTCATCAGATCTCACTGGCCTGATATCATTGATATCATGATCATTGCTAGCCTCATTGGGGTGTCCAGAATGTCCACTTCATATTGGACTTCATTGTGACAAAGAGGAAGAGAATTTGCCTAGCCCTGGGTCAAGACAGCAAGTTGATACTGCTTTTGGTTCCGTGTCAACTGAACCCACTTCTGCCTCTCCTTCCTTGAAGATTCTGAAGGTTTTATTTCCCAGTTAAATATCCACGCACCCCAGACATCATAGACTATGTTAATCTATTGTAGGCAGGATTCTATATCTATCACATTAGCTTTACTTGTATCTTTTATTAATTTGATAGGTCTGGTGGTCATCCACTGGGGGCAGTTATGATCCACCTGGTTTTGTGGAGGCTATCCTAGTAAATTTTCTGGAAACAATATGGGATTCAATTCTGCTTCATTTATGAAGTCTTTCAAGATAGCACTAATTTCTGATTTTTGGTTTCCAGATTTCTTAAGGGATGGTGGTGATGGTAAGGCAGATCCACAGCTTTTATTTGGCCTTTTATAATATTCTTACTCTGGCCAGGTGTGGTGGTGCACACCTGTAATCCCAGTGGCTCAGCATCAGCAAAGTGCAAAGTCAGTATCAGCAACTTAGCAAGACCCTAAGT